GTTCATGAAGATCTCTTCACGACTGATTCATTTATTTAACAAAAGTGTACTGAGCAGCTGTTATATGCCTAGTGCTATTTTAGGTACTGGGAACATCCACAAGAAGCACACAGTGCTTGCCCTCAAGAGCTCATTATCTTAATGATGGTGACAGGTAAAGAAATGGGCACAGTACAGACTGAGGAGACAAATGAGAGAAATACCCTAACCCAGAATGGAAGTCAGGGAGGGTTTCCTGCTGGAGGTGGCTCCATAGGTAGAAGGGCAAAAGCATTAGGCACGTGAGTGCAGTTCCTCAGTAAGGCAGAGTAGCTGACTGCAGAATAATCTCGCAGATAGCAATTGTAAATCTGAACACAATATAAAAGGAATCATTGGAATATATTAGAGAGTGAACATGAGAAGATAGAAGCGAAAGGGCTTTGGCCCTTGAAAGAAGGAAACTGCATTAGCTTGTGTCTCTGGCTATGTGACTTTCTACCCAAAGTCTGCTAGTCTGCAGGCATGGTCCATTTCTCCGTATACTTAGGTTTTCTCTAATTTCCCTTTGTTTTTAAAATTTTCCAGTGTACAAGTCTTCAACATACTTTGCAAAATTTATTCCTAAGTAATTGTTGATGCTACTGTGGAGTTTTATTTTTATTTTCTTATTGTTCATTATACATATGTAGAAATATAATGACTTTTGTGTAAGGTCAGTTGAAAGGAAATTTTTTTTTTTCGTCTTTTTGAGACAGGGTCTCGCTCTGCAGTTCAGGCTGGCCTTGAGCTCACTTTGTAGCCCAGGCTGTCTTGAATTCTCAATGATTTTCCTGCCTCAGCCTCCTAGTGCTGGAATTGTGGATGTGTGCCACCACTCCCAACAGGAAATTTATTTTTAAACAACTGGATAAACTGCTATAGGAACCACTGGATCAACTCAAGGAAGGTAATCCTTGGCTCCAATTTCAACATGGATAATATCCTTTGATTTTTTTTTTTTATTTTTAAAATTTTTTTATTATTTGGTTTTTCTCCGGTACCGGGAACCAAACTCACGACCTTGCACTTGCCAGGCAGGCACTTTGCCGCTGAGCTAAATCCCCAGCCCTGGATCATATCCTTTGAGTAACCAATTCTAGAGCAATCCTTTCCAATAGAACTCATAAACAGAATCAGCTAAAAAATGTATACACACTTCAGCAGTTCACCATACTAATAAATGTCTGGAAGCTAATGGCCACCACTTTGAGCAGCACTTGTCATTGTAGAGGCCAGATGTAACTTGTATGATTAATCTCATGATGTCTCAATGAATTTAGTGTTAAAATATTTGTACAATTTTTTTTCTTTTCCTAATGCATACTTTTTTTGGCAGACTGTATGTCAGACAAAGGATTTATATTTAGGATATACTATAAAACTTCTAGAAATCAACAACCTCAATCTAATTTTCTAAGTGGGCCACAGACACAGACACATTAGAAAACATAAACCTATTTGTTTATGCACATTAAAATCACCAACAGATGCTATTTCACTTCCATTAGAATGACCAGCATTGAAAAGACTAATAACACTAGGTGTTGGCAAGAATGTAGAGCAAGCTGTAATTCTCATACACGGTGGTGGTAATATAAAATGGTATGGCCACTTTGGAAAACCTTTGTTAGTTTCTTAAAAAGTTAAGCATACATGCTGGACATGGTGGTGCACACCTGTAATCCCAGCACTCAGGAGGCTGAGGCAGAAGGATTACAATGAATTTGAGGCCAGCCAAGGCTAAAAGTAAGTTCAAAGCCTGGCTGAACTATATAGCAAGACCCTGCCTAAGAAAAAAAGTTAAACATTCATCTCCTATGTGACCCAGTAATTCTGTTCTTAAGTATTCTATTCTAAATCAGTAAAATACACCTACCCACAAAGACACATTTCAATAATGTTCCTGGTGTCTTTGTTCATAACAGTTCCAACTTAGAAACAACACAAATGCCTTTCCAACAAGAGAATGAATAAACAAATTCTAGTGTATTCATACAATGGAATATTATTCAGCAAAGAAAAAAATAAACTATTGCTACATGCAACAACATGAGTGAATCTCAAACATCCTGAGCAAAAGAAGTCAGGCACAAAAGACTATATACTGTATGATACCATTTATATGAATTTGAAGAATAGGCTAACCTAATCTTTGGTGAGAAATACCAGAACAGATTGCCTGTAGTGGGTGGCTATAAACAGGAAATTTAAAGGCAGGCACAATCAATTAGTAGAAATAAAAAATCAAAACATTATTGCCTAAAGTGGTAGAAGTTGAATGGAAGGACGATGTGTTCTAGGATAAAGTACATGTTCTATATTTTGATCAGGATGGTAGTTTCATAGGTATACATATTAATAAAAGCCTATTGAATTTTATTTTATATTTAAGACCTCTGTATTTCAGAGATCTTACTTAGAAATTTTACCCAGTGGTGCTATAGTAACTGAATTGAATAGTGAATAGTAACTGAATCGAAGCAAGTGGTATTCATGGTCATAGATTTTCTTTATAAAGTAGCCCCCCCTTATCTATGGGGCATGTTTCAAGACCCCCAGTAGATGTCTAAAGCCACAGGTAGTACTGATCCCTTTGTGTTTTTTTCTACATACACATCTATGAAAAAGTATAACTTATAAACTAGGCATAGTATGAGATTAACAACAACAATAATGAAGTAATACAGTTATAAAAATATTCTGTAATAAAACTTATGTGAATGTGCACTCCGTCTCTCTCAACTGCCACAGGGTGGGTAGCATCTACAACATGGATACTTTGGATAAAGTGATGAGTCACGTCCCCCAGAGGGGGGACTGCATGAGACTTCATTGTGCTACTTAGAATGTCAATTTACAACTTACAAATTATTTCTGGAATTTTCTGCTAGACTGCAGGTAACTGAAGCTATGGATGATGAAAAGGCAGATGTGAGGGAGTACTGTAAAAATCCTTTAGTTTATCAGTTAATGGGAGGGAGGGAGGGAAGGAAGAAAGGAGAGAGTGGGGGAATATTGAGTTTAACCAGACTGTAAGAGTACAAAGATGAACTTTTCTCTGCTTTTAGGGGATTGAGACAAATTGTACTGATGTCACCCAGAGATCACTGAGACAAAGCTAGAACAGGCAGAGCACCAGTTTAGCACAGTGGGGCAGGAGCTTTTGTGTGCACTGCCCCGGCTGTGCCCTGGGGAGGGACAGAACTCTTGCCAAGGATGGGAGATGTCTGGGTTTCAGGTCTGCCGTGCTGCTCATATGGAAAAGGAAAAGCAGAACGCCTGTTTCTCAAAGCTTTATTGGCCCTGGAATCTGGGAATGGTTTGGGTTCAAGCAATCTTAATTGTACTCTTTCTAAACACTTTAAACCTCTTTCTTCCCTTGACATTTTAGCTTAGTAAGTTTCAGGTTGCTGGCACTTTCATCCTTGTTCTCAAAATTATCTCTAAATTCTACATAAATGACATAGTGAATGAATATTATACTCGGGTAAAATTTTGATCTTCACAACACAGTTGTTTCCTGAGTGATGAACTTAGTTCAGTATTGTTGTTATTTAACAACAGCAACAAGGCTTCTGAGAGGAATTCTGCATCTGGTGTTAGCCAGGCAGGAAATCACATTAGGCAGCGACCTGAAATTCCATGCCTTAGGTAGCTGCATTGCAAAGCCCCTAGGGGTGCTGACCTCTGACCTCTGATTCTTGATAATTTGGAAGTTAGAGATGTAGATCAGATTGCCCACTCCTGTAAATTGAATCCGTGTTGCCCTGCCCATTAAGAATTTGGTTTTAAGCACTTGGTCCTGAGTGTTAGGAAGAGATTTAAGAACAGGAATCACTGAGAAGATTACATATCCATGGAACATAGTCTGTGCAGCCTGGTTTGGGCAGGTTCTGTTCTGTGTTTGGAAACGTGTAGATGTGATTCTTGTTCTTGTGGGGTCACTTTATAAAGTCTGGTGGTAAAGGAAGTGGGGGATGGATTTTTTGGTTTACCCTTGCTTTCTTTCATGCACTTGTCATACTGAGAGTTATTTTATTCACTCATTCCTTACCATTCTTTACCATTCCTTACTCCTTCCTTACCATTCACTGCTAATTTGTTTTTGTTTGTTGGGGGGAGGCTTGATTTTGGTTTTCTTTTGAGACAGTCTTGGTGTGTAGTTCAGTCTGGCCTTGAACTCAAATTCATGGCAATCCTCCTGCCTCAACCTCCTGAGTGCTGGGATTACGGAGCATTGACTGTTGTTAATTTCTCTCACACTAAATGAAACAAGAAATCAGGCTCTTGGGATTTATCTCCACTGGTTTCACAAACTGCCTATGCAACTCAGGTGGGCAATTTGACTGCTCCTTACCTTATACATTTGTAATATGGATATAAAATCCTTGCCCAAGGTGACCACACTGCTCAGTTTTGAAAATCAAGTGAAATAAATGGATATTACAGTGCTTTGACAAACAGTAAGTGACAAATAGTCCCATTGTATGTATTATGTTGCTCAGGCCAGTGTCATGTATGCCAGGGTTCCTGAGTTTCAGTATCACAATGATCCTTGGGAATTATCTGAAAATACTCATTGCTTAGTCTACCTCCAAAGGGCCTGAGTTCCTGTAAGCCAGAAATTTGCATTTTAAGAAGGATTTTAAGTAACTCTGATGCAGCAGGTCTAAGGATCCACCGATATACACCCATGTACATGCACAATGTTGGAGGAGTCTTTAGCAAAGTGTCTTTAGGATAATCCAGGAGCTCTCATCTGAGGCATTTGTTATGAGTTTATTTGTACATGTTCAAAAGTTATGTCTCTTATTTCTGTTTTTCTGTCTGCTCTGGCTACCCAATAGGGGATTAGTGGAAATATGCTGGCCGCCCTCCATACCAAAAAAAAAAAACCCAAAAAAACTGAAAAAAAGAAAAAAAAACTATGACCCTGCAGGCGAATAAACTGCAATCTTTTGTTTTCATTTTCTTTACAGCAATGCAGAGTCTTCAGAGAAGAGATTCCGGATGAACAGCTTTGTGTCAGACTTTGGAAAACCTCTGGAACCAGACAAAGTGTTTTCCCGCCAGGGCAATGAAGAATCTAGATCTCTCTTTCACTGCTACATCAATGAAGTAGAGCGCTTGGACAGGGCCAAAGCTTGTCAGCAGACCACAGCTGTGGACAGCGATGTGCGACTCCAGGAAGCCATCGGAGGCAGCAGGAGGGCAGAGGAGGAGCTGAACAGGCTCATGAAGTTCGACATCCCCAACTTCGTGAACACGGACCAGAACTCCTTTGCGGAGGATGATCTTCTGATTTCGGAACCACCTATTGTTCTAGAAAATAAGCCCGTTTCCCAGACCTCACACAAAGACCTGGACTGAGAAGCATTTCCGTGTCTTTCTGCAGATGTAGGCTCTGTCTTTATGTAGCAAGAAAGCTCCATTCACCCAACTGTGCGCGTATGCGAGAGAGACAGAGAAGAGAGCATCCCTCAAGATACCGCTAGAGGTTTTCATTGTTCGAGTTCATTGTGCTTTGTTTGCCTTTTAACACATTGGAGTTTTTTGTTTTTTGGGGTTTTTTTGGAAAGTATTTGCACTATCGTATCCTCCTTGTTGAAGATTTGTCCAGATAGGTCAGGACTCTTGAATGAGGATTCACATATTGCATTCCAGTCTGGCTCTGCCACGCTCATGCTGTACCTTTAGGAGCTTTGCTTCTCGGGGCTGCAACTGTTTTAGCGGTCAGTGATGTCTGGAGTAGGTGATGTCTCCTAGCGCTAACACTTGGTGAGTGGATGACTTTGCAGCCAAGGCAAGCAGAGATACACATAAAGCAGTCTAAACAAGGGCACCCGCTCCTGTCTCCCTGTACCTTCGACTCAGTCCTTAATTGAGCCACACTTTAGTGAAGAGATCTTTACACACTCAGGACCACGTGGTCACCGTGGTGAACATTTCTGCTGGGTTTTGCAGAAACAGCTTTTTAGAGGTTCTTCAGTCCCCACGCCCTGTCCCTCTCCGAGTGAGTACTGACTCATGGTGTATCACGTGGCACCTCTGTCCCCAAGAAATGTAGTGAAGGTTGTCCTCTGAATGAGCGGGTATCTTCTGTGTGTCTCTGTGTTGGTGTATTTGTGTCACGCTGCCGTGCGATTGGCTTTGGAACAAGGAAAACACTAGTTGCCGTGCTGTCTATGCAGGCGATTGGTCTTTGAGCTGAGATGGCCTGTGGGTTTTACACACCGCACTAACAGATTCTCAGGGTGGTCTGGACTGTGTTAACACGAGAGCATCACAGAATTAATTCACGAAGGAATCAAACCTGTGCACTGGTATTGAAAACAACTTGGTTTTACACACACAGCCAGTTGCATGCATGGCCAGCTGCTAATCTCGGGCAGGCAGTTTTCATTATGAATTTGTTTACCACCTATGTGCTTAAGCTACAAAATAAATATATATGATTGCACGGGAATTTTCTCTGGTTCTTTACTTTCAGAATCCACTCTTTTATTTTTTTACACTAGTTTATGTCTGAGGTGCCTTCTAACTTTTTTTAAGTGGAAAGTGTTGACTGTCATTTCTGGGATCCTGGTTATCACAATCATGCATGAGATTTTACTTAGGAATTATTCCACCAAAATAAAATCCTTGCCCATGTCTTTTAAGGAAAGTATTATTTTTTAAAACTCCTAACAGTAGAACAAAGCATGGGATAGTTAGTGTAATTACAACTACTGTAGCAGGGTGTGGTTTATACAAGTAATCTCAGCTACCTAGGAAACTGGGAAGGGAGGATCCCACGTTCAAGGCCAGCCTCAGCAACTTAGCAAGATCAGATCTCAGAATAAAAAGGGCATGGGGTGTAGCTCAGTGTTCCCTGAGTTCAATACCCACAGTGAAAAAAAAAAAAAACTTTAATAAGTTCTTATAAATAGATACTATTTTCATGAATATTTTTATGCAGTAGAATAAGAACAAGAATGCAGGTTTTATTAACATAGTATGAGTATTATTATTATTCATAATTTACTTACCCAAACATAAATGATAGGCTATTTCTTATTAAGATTGAAAGCTATCTCAGAGGTACCTCTTTTCAGCAGTAGATTTAGCAGAAAACTGAAAGATATTTAAAAGTTGGTAAAACACCATGACTATGCCATCTTATGAACTAAAGGTTAAAAATTGTGAAGGGTCTAAATCTGCATTCCTCCTGTAATGTAGCCTGTCCCAGTCTCACAGATACATTTCCTAGAAGATACAAGATGCCAGGTTGGGTACCAAGCTGTCATGAGAGCGCAGCAGACTGCATGCACTCCAGGTACATATTGGCTCCTGCATGTACTCCAGGTACCGGCTGTTTTCTATTGCTACTGTAACAAACTATGACAAATTTACTGGCCACACAAATTTAGCCCCTTATCGTTGTAGAGTACAAATGTCTAACAGTCTCACGGGCTAAGAACAAGGGATGAGCAGAGCCGGGTTCCATCTGGAGATTCTACGGGGGAAGCCATTGTCTTGCTTTTCTTCAGCTTCCAGCTGCAGTCACACTCCTTGGATCATGGCCACGTATCACCATGAAATCTTTTTCCCATTTCCAGGTCTGTCTCTGCCTGCTCTGCCTCCCTCTTAAAAGGACTCTGGTGATTTACATGGGATTACCTGACATCATTTCTCCATCTCAAAACCCTTCCCTTGATCACATTTGCAAAGTCCCTTTGCTAGATAAGGTAATGTTCCAGGTTGCAGGGATGAGGGCGTGGAAAATTCTGGAAGCCATCAGCATGTCAGTCTTCCTTTGGCCACAAAGGTGGATGTCCATCCCACATGTTAAGGATATTCACCCCACCCCACCACACTCCACAGTCTATTATAGCGTCAAAGTCCAATATGTTATCTAAATCTTGTCAGCTAACAACTCCCAAATCTCATTACCTTGACCTCTAAGTCAAGAAGGGTGAATCCTGCATAAGATCCAACCTGGGGAAAACACAGTCTCTGCCTATGGACCAGTAAAACAAGAAAAGAGGTTATTAGCTCCTTCAGTATAATGGGGTGACAAGTGTATATTCTCATTTAAAAAAAAAAAATGACAAGGCCAGGGATATAGCTCAGTGGCACAAGTGCCTGCCTGGCAAGTGCAAGGTCCTGAGTTCAATTCCTGGTACCCCTGTAGTGCATTGATAATTGGTGGTTAACTTACAACGCCCAGCTGAACTGAGTAAGTAAGCATGGTTCGGGGGTGTGGGAGGCCCACCTGGGGATTGTTGCCAGCAGCAAAAGAGGCAGAGCTGGAGAAGGAGAAAAAGGCTGTTGGGAGCTGAGACTTGCTGTTGGGAGCTGGTAGAAGCTGTAAGGAACTGTTGGTTGTTTTGGAGGAGCTCGTCATGCTGGTGATGAACTGGCTGTTTTCATCCTCTGAGGAGCTTGGGACCTCTTTGGCACTGAGAATGGCTTTGGTTCACTTTGGGGAAGCTCTGGTCCTCACTTTGAGCATCGCTTCTTGGCTCCAGAGGGGAAGATAGTGCACTGCCAGTCTCTTGGAGAAGCTTTTTGTATTGGATTCCCTGATGGAAACTCGGCCATCTTGATCATTAGGACCTCACTGTTGCTGAGGATGGCTGTGGTACCTTCCAAGGGAGCTCTGGTTCTTCTGAGCATGGCTTCCTGGCTCCAGTGCAGATCCCTCAGCCTGCTAACACAGGTCCTTCATCTTGCTGGCACAGACTTCCTAGATTCCACCACCGACCTTGGGCCTTTGAGGTGGAGATCCGTGAAACAGGCCTGCAATGAGATATTGTTATGGGCTCTGGGCCTCCAGTTGGATTTGTGAGAGGCACTGTTATGAGCTGTAGGTCTTAAGCTATACTCATGCAGGACATTTCTGTGGGATCCAAGCCCTCGGCTGGATTCTTGGTCTATAGTCTGTGGACAGATTTCCTGCACTCTTTTGTATATTGTTCTTTGGGTGACTATTATAAATAATCATCTAAAGTATGTGTCCTGTTTTATATTATTGTTTCCCTTTGGCAATAAGCCCCAAACCAAAACACCCAGAAACAAAAGAAAAAAGTCACCAGTCCCAAGAAATTTCAAAATTGAACTGAGAAATTTCTATTGGGTTTCAAAGCCTGGAAATTGTGTTAAAGGTGCGGAGAGGAGAGAGACCACCCGCGCAGGCTTTGTGTAAACAACCATGCTGTTTATTCACTCTGGTGGGATGGCCTGAGTTCTGTTTGGGAGAGGAATCAGCAGGAAGCAAGGGTAGAACAAACGCTTTAAAGGGAAGGGGAGGAGTTTGCTGCCTTGAGGAATTTGGGGGAGGAGATAGTGTGGTTGTGCTTCTCCCAATGGGTGGTGCAGATGCCAGCGCGGTGGTCACACCTCTCCCTGCAGAGGGCGCTGATGCAAACGAACTTCCTGGAAGGAAGGGCCATGCGGCATGGTGTGCTGAGCTTTTCCCACTGGATGTGACAGAAATAATCTTCCGTACTTTGTGGCTTCATCTCTGAGGCTACAGTTCTGCTTTTAGAATCACCCTTCTTTTGTACTGAAGGGTATCTGGGTGTACTGAGTGGTTTTACTAGCCTGCTTCCTGCTTGTAGAATTTTCGGAGTCTGATAGCCGTCTTTTGTCCTCTGTCCTTTTCGATTCAAGTTGGAGTGTTACCGCGCATCGCTTTTATGAATGTTCTGAGTCTCCTGAATTCATTCCATTAGAAAGGAGGCTTTTCCAGACCGTCCTTGAAAAATCTTATCTCTAGTCCTAGATTTTTTTCAATTGAAGGGATCATAAATCATACCCCTAGTACTTACAAATAACCCCTGCATCACTAGATATTCTTTTACTCCTCTCCAGACTCTAGCAAAAGGTGTTCAGTTACATTCTTCACTTTCTCTCTAGAGCATGCTTTTCCTCAAACTTTTAGAGTATTTTGAAACTGAACAGTCTGATAATTTTCCAAAACATGAGGTCCTGATTCTTTTCCATGTAACAGCTCTCCCTGGGCCAGGGATATAGCTCAGTGGCACAGCGCCTGCCTGGCAACAGTGAGGTTGTGAGTTTGATTCCTGGTACCAAAAACAAAACAACAAAACAACGGCTCTTCTTTCAATTTATTTCGCTTTTACTATAAGCAACAAGAAGAAATCAGGTCTCATGTTTAACACTTTGCTTGGAAATCTACATAGCTAAATATCCCAAGTTAATTGTTTATGGGTTTTGCTTTTTACATAACTGCAGAACGTAATTCACTTAAGCTTTCTGCCACTATGTAACAAGGACCCCCTTTTACCTGGTTTCTTTTTTCCCTCTCTTCTTTCTTTTTTGTTTTGTTTTGTTGGTTTATTTGTTTTGTTTCTTGAGGCAGGGTCTTGCTATGTACCTCAGGCTGGCCTTGAACTTACTATTTGTCCAGGCGGGCAAATCCATCTGCCTCAGCCTCTCAAGTGCTGGTATTACAGGCATGCACTACACACCTGGCTTTTCTCTGGTACCTAATAACATCTTCCTCATTTCCATCTGAACCTTCACCTGCATGGCTTTTTTTTGTTTTTTTTTTGTTTTTTTTTTTTTGGTTTTTCTCCGGTACCGGGAACCGAACTCACAACCTTGCGCATGCCAGGCAGGCGCTTTGCCGCTGAGCTAAATCCCCGGTCCCTGCATGGCTTTTAAAGTCCGTATTTCTACCAAGAGTACGTTCCTGATGATTTGGGCGTTTCATAAGACATACCTTTCTTCTCTTGCAATGCTTATCATTTCCCTCTGAGCCTAACAATCATTAGGATTCTAGTGACAGTCCCCTTAAAGCAGTCTAGGCAGTTTCTGTCAAAATTTTTCCAGTCTCTGACCATTGCCTAAATCCTATTATTTTAGGTATTTGTTACAACAGCAGTGGAAAACCAGTGTAATTTTCCTGAACCCCAAGTCTCAAAGCGGTGGAGGGGATTCAGGTGCAGGTTATGTACCAAGCATGAGCTGACCTCACAGCCCAGGAGCCCTGAGACCAGGCAACCCCATGTTTTGGCGGTGGGCTGTCAGCAAACCTGCTTGATCTTTGCCCCAGAAGGAGTTATCATTTTCACACTGGCCAGCAAGTGAGCCTGCCTGCCGATCCAGAGGGACACATGATCTCCATTTTCCAAGGGTATTCTCTCTCCAAAGATCATGTGAGACGAATCTTTGTGTCTCCATTATTAATAAGATGTACTGAAACTGAGAGTTCCTTGGAGAACCATCTCCCAAACCTAAAACTACCACAGAATATACTGTATAAGACATCTGGGGTTTTATAAAGAGAGAACTTTGAAGAAATTGCGAAAATAATTCAGATGATTTTTTAAATGCCTGAATTTATCTCCCAGAGATGTACAACCATCTCAGGTTAAATCCATGAATTTTTTCACAACTAAAGCTGCCAAGAGTTTGCCTAAGCATATATTGTGTACATGCGCTATCTTATTTCTATGG